ATCTCTGCACAGGATGCGAGAGGGACCTGAAGTAGTCAAGAGCTGCACCACTATGGTACCGCAGGCACCTATTTGTACAATTATTTTTTCCAACACAGACTAGATTATCACTGGAAAAACGAATGGCTAAGAAACATTTGCTATCATAGGCTTTCTTGAGATAGCCACGCAACGTCGCCGGCATTCTATTATTCATGTTACAGTGAGTTCTGGTAAGTCCTTGCCTAACCTTAGTTTGAAAACCATACGCAGAAACGGATCATTGACATCAGGAAAAGAACATGGCATATCTACGTAGTGAATCATAATGAGTGGGTGAAGTGATGGGTTTGCTTGGTGTTACCATAAATAACGCGTAACATTGACCACTCCCACACATACAGGAGTGACAAAGCAGTGTACAGTTATATGCAAGGTTTGTTGGGGATAAATGGTATGTAGTGTTGAGTTGCGAATTTTTTTTGCTCTCATATTACTGCTTTGTTGTATCGGATTTAACCTGAGGTCAGCAAAGACGAGGTAAGGGCACCTACCAATGGTGGTTGTTGGTAGTTTCCATTGATACGAAATGCATCGCAGAGCATAACAAGACGTCAGGTACTGCCTAAATCAGTCGTCCATGATCATCACAGTCATAATCTTTGTCATCATCAGCGTCATTGTCATCATGGTTATGGCGCATGCTAACAGACAAGCCTCGCAAGACATCCTACAGACGCGCCTGCTGAGTGGCTCATGACCTCGTAGTATCTTTCTGTGAAAAGAAGCGCCATGCTCTCAGTCCTGTCTTCCTCGCCAACCTTCGTTTCATGAACGGCTAGGACGTCGATATCTAGCTGTTGACCAACAGTGGAACTTGACTATGCCAATGACTAAACGCAAACCCTCACACACTTAGTGTAGCTATTCTCAGTAACGGAATTGAAGCTTTTATGAGTGCTACAGTATTACCAAGAAGCCCAGAGCATTGTGGTTACCTTCGTGCGCTTCTTCTGACTGGCCTTCCATCTGTTGGGTCATGCTTGCTTCCTTTTTTCACATATGGTCTATGGCTAGTCGCCTGGAGGAACTTGCTGGCGTTCTTCCAATTTGCCTTCTCCGTAGGTCTCTTGTTAGTCGGAGCTTTCGGTTCTGGTCTCAGAGTGACCTGCCTCTCTTGAGATATGTTCGCAGGTGGCTGCTCGTTATTATTGTATGTTCCGCACTCTCGTCACGTGAACTCTCAGAGTGGCGGTGGTGACACAACTCATTTTGCCAGCACTTCACAACGTATCTGCCTGGATTTCTGCTGCCTTGTCTGCCTCTTCTGGCATCGCTTTTTCCTCGACCCGTATAGGCTTAGCGGTTGACGGGGCGCTAACGAGTGCTGTCAAGTACTAAGGAGGCTCCATTTCCTAGTGTGGCAGTGCCAACACCTGGCATTCGCCATCTGGGCCGCGTCCACGATGTGCTCAGCAACAACCTCGCTCTTCGCTGGTCCTGTGACAGTGGCATAGGTGCTAACACAATCAGCTTTCACGTTCCCGAAACACCTACAGCGGAAGCACCGTGACACCTTACTTTCGTGGTGGACATGCCCTGTGCCTTGGCAGTAACAACACGGCATCAACTCAGCAGGCACGGCTACCAACGCCAGCTCACCGTCCGCGTGAATCTTATGTTGAGGTTCCTCAACCTTGAATCCGCTCTTCAGCTTGAGCAACACGTCCTTGTCGTGGAGCATTTGTCAACCATTCCAGGAACGCGCCATCGCTCTCGGCTCACTTCAACCAGATTCCCGAAAGTCACGAACGCCGTTCATGCATCTTCATCGCTCGTACCATTCAGCAGCCAGTGCAAACGAAGCTTGAAATGGTGGTTGTGCGGGTCGATGATGACGCAGCGCCGCCCCATCACACTTAGTTTCTTCAGTGCAAGTAAGCGTTTCGTGAGAGCCACATCTTTCAAGATCACCGCCCACAAGTGGTTGTTCTGACATTCTCCTGGGCTCAAAACATCGAGAAGCAGGCCCGTCTGCGTCAGCCCATCCCGCAAATATTAAACATTTTAAGGCCTGGCCATCACATTCCCGTGTAAAAACACTGTATTATTAACAAGCTTTCCTTTTGTCACCTCGGGCAAAATAAACTGGTACTCCTTGTCGCCTGCGTTCCTGTTCGCGCGGCCCATACTGGCCGCTATCACTTCTCCGCTACAGCCCATGACCCTGCAATCCGCTTAGCTAGACTGCCGGAAGCAAAATGACTGAGCTATGATCACCTACTTTGCTGGATTCAAAATCATTCCTTTTATGTTTCTCACTATCCTCTCATTGTGCTCTTGGTAAAGTGTGGCAATGCGTAATGATTGGGTAATTCACGGTTAGTTCCCTGAACGTCTAGTTTCTGCATGTTCATCCTATTCGCGGCATTTCTAACCGGAGAACTGCAATTTCGTCAACGCCTTCGCACACCGCGAGCCAGAGGCCATACCGAAAGCGTTGGTGGGTCTTATAGTTTTACGTTTCAACTATATTTCTCATTTTTAGAACAGACAAAGAATATGCAAGGGAAAGGAACAAAAAGCTGCAAAACAGCCGCTTCACAGTGTTATTGCTGCTTTGTTTAGCGACGAGTATACAGCACGTACACAAATAAGGGTGAGGTGTACACGTATCCCGAAGAAGTACGGCCACCAGCGTGGGTCTGGTCTTAGCGAGCCGCAGGGCACGCGTTAACCATCGCCGTGGTGAGAACACGATACTGCTCAATGTCGCAACACTTTATTGTGGCAACACCTAACGCAGTACAGCCCGTTGCAAAGGCGCGGCAGGAAAGCAAATAGGCTTATCCACGCAATGGGCAGAAAAGTACTACGCAGGATGCCACGAGCCCGTTCCCGCTGTAAAAGTGATCCACGGAGACACCGGGACCAAGGCCCAGTTGCTCGAGCGAGGGCAACGGCGCTCGCGTTGGCTTCGGAGGGAGACGGGTCGGCGTAGCTAGGCTATGCACTAGGACACCATTCCGCGTTTCGGCCGTGCGTACGCAGTGGGGCAACAAAAGGTGAGCGTTCACCTCGGGCGCGAGGCGCCGTCGGCGAAATCCGACGAGCCCCGAGCGACAGGAGTCGACGGACGGAAAAGATTCCGTGGCTCACCGTCTGCCGTCCCGGAGAGTATCTGTCTGCCCACTCCCGACACAGCGCGCGAAAACCTCTCGGGAGACTCCGCGCACGGCGCCACAGTCAACATCCGCTACAGGGTGAGGGGGTTAAACGTCACTCCGCTCTCCCAGCGCGACAGGCAGCAAAGGAGGGCAGACATGTCGGGGTATGAGAACGGCTGAAAAGCCGGCAAAGCCCGCGCAAAGGCAGCGGACTAGTCTCTATTCCCACAAGGGGGAGAAAAAAATGCACTCAGGAACTTTTATATGCAAATATTTATACATATACAACATCTGAACATATTCCGAACAATACAGTAACAGAAAGTATCCACATCTTTTCACATACGAACATTCACTAATTTTCATATGCCCAAGTGATTCAGCATAGCATAAAAAAATATTTGCTGTACTGTACGCACTTTCAAACTTAGTAGATGTAGAAATAATAACACATATGTACATAAAACACATAATAAGGGTTTTATTTCGAATGCTGACATTTTTCATGACATATATTATTATCAAAAGTAGCTATGCAAAACGCGCCTGCTTCTTCTAGAGTAACTCTGCATACCCTACTTACTGTCGCCCTTCCAAAAATAGTTGCCGTCCAACATGTAAGACATAACGAATTTAGCGTTAACCTCCAGTGGGGCAGTGTAATCTAATTACACTACATGCCGCGAGTAGGTGACCTTAGCCCACCATATCCCAAGTTTGGGAGACCATCAGTTGCAATCTTCAGACTGTTACACCATTTATTTCGCTCTCACCCTTAACTACTACAGGCTCCACCAGCATCCATGACCGCAAGGGCATGCTTAATCAATCACACATCATTATTTATGGGCTCTCTATGCTATGGCGAAAAAAATTTAGGAGGGGGGGGGGAGGGCACGTGCCTGGTGTGCCATCTCCTGGCTGCGCTCCTAACTACATGCGATGACAAGCCTGCAAAGTGTCGGCAAAATACAGTGGTCCTAAACAATTTCACTAATTCACACAAGTGCGCACGAGATAGGAGGTAAATAGCTGAAATGGCGCAAATCTGCCACCCTGTGAAAAAGTGAAAGCGAGAAAATAATGAGGAAATTTAGTTTCTCTTACATGTGTTAGCATCTGCGTGTTGAGATATCGAATGGGTGGGGAAGTGGTATCGCTGCGAAATGACACTACTGTTATAACAACTTTGTATTAAAATATATGACTTGATTATGGGAGACAACGTAATAGAAAGACTTTGTAACATTTCACATGCTCGGACTTCTTAACACGCTCCTAAATGTGATAAGTGTGTTACAGCATGATGTCAAGTCCTTGCGCACAAGATGGCCTGTGTTGCTTCAAAAGCTAGCATGTGTTGTTATGTGAGCGTGTTCTTGTAGATTTAAGAGCTAGTGTTCCTCGTTGTTGTCTTTGTTGTTTTATACTTCAATATAGAAGTAGATTTCTAGCACCTTCTGCAGTATCGTCGCAAATCGCTCGGCAAGCCAACTTCACTTCGGGCGAGTTTAACTTCAAAGTAAAAAATCTCCACAAGTTTCAACTGCCGCACAAACTTTAGTGTGTCTACCTACCTAACAGTGAATCGCCAGAAAAGATAAATATCTGTCTTTTTTTTACGAACCACATAAATGCACCATTAAAAAACCATTATGATAAAGACTCGTTTTTGTTCGACATAACTTGCGAAAGTGTGTGCCAAAAAACAAACTAAACCAAATCTAAGTTATCTTATATGGTAAGTTACAAACATCTGTAAATGTATATTTCATATTTATTTCAAACTAGAAAATGCAAAAAAGAGCATCATTGGGTTGTCACGTCTGTTTCCTTTTGCGGCTTTATTTGCAGGATGGCATCGTACATGACGGCATGACGGATGCCTACCACAATATTCATATGGTGCGTAGCATTTTCTTTCTGCTCTGTAGCATATGCAGAAAAACTCTTGAAATGATTCCTAGTTATGACAGAAAGCCTGCCTGGCTCTGCAAATACAGCGCGAATGTTGTTAAGGTTAGATCTATCATGGCCAGCTGTCTATAGCATTAAGGTTTGTTGTGGTTTCGCAATCATGAAATCAAGAGAGAGAACAGAGTGCTTATTTCCTTTAAAATCCTAGGGTACTTGCGCTGAGCAAACTGCCAAGAAGTACGAAGTGTCACGAGAAGAGCAAGACAATTTCGCAATGGAAAGCTACAAGAGAAGCACAGCAGCTGCAAAGGTATTACCACCCTTTTGTATTATTTTTGAGACAGTGTCGATTCCACAGTGCCCTATTTATTGTTACGTGTTTTGTTTGAAACAATTATCAGGCTTTGAAAGCACTACGAGAGAGTTTCAATTTACTGCCTGTAACTTATCTGAGCAAACTTTTTAAAATTTGGTTCAGATCAAAGTGGCGCTAAAGAAACGGTGACGTAAGCAAGAAATATGCGCGACATGCGTTCAACTTTCGACTCAATTTTATTGAAGCAACGTTAAAATGTATAGTAGCAACCAGCGAAGGTCATCACGTTCGTGACACAGCCACGGGATGTGAAATGTGTCGAGACATTACCATAAACACCAAGCCATGGTCGAATATTAAAGCAAAGTCAGCTGCCTAGTATGAAAAGGCGATAGAACACGTCGAACATGAAACGGATACTTTTACAACGCTTAATGAGCTTTCTTTCGGTGAGCTGCCTCTTTCTGTGAGCTGCGCTACAACCACATTTTCAAACATGAGCTTATATCTTCTCTCATTCAAGAATAAGCGGACATTGCGCGGTATCACGCGTTGCCCTTACCAGACATCAACTTCAGTTATGCGTTGTGCCTCAGCTGGAACTCAACGTGAATATGAATGAGCCCGTAAGCTAGCACAAACAATTTTTACCAGAGATAGTAGTACATGATGGCATGTAGCGTGAAGCCTGCGCACTGTTTTCACCCGCGCAGAAGCTAGACGTGGCCGTCAGGCCACGCTTTAACTTGCTTGTAGCTACGGAGAGTGTGAAACCTTATGCAGGTTGTGTAGTAGAATGTTGCGTTCATTAACAGGAAGAGATTCTCGCACAAGAAATCATACCGGTAACGATACCGGCAAAGTCTGGAAAGCCCGACGTAGTAGTGACGGAGGACGAGGAATACAAGCGTGCCGATTTTGACAAGTTTTCCAGCTTGCCAACACCTTTCGTCAATGAAGACGGTAAGTGCTTGTCTCCGGGAATCTTTTATTAAAGCAGAACTGTCAAGTAATACATTTGCTTACCTAACATTGTTCTACTTAGTGTCTGCTTATCTTGCTGAGTAAGTAGGGACTCATAGTCAACCAAACACGCTTAGGCCGTTTTCGACTCATATATCACCTATACATGGAGGCGCTCTTGTGGTGGTTTTCCGAGACTTAAATGGCTCATTCCAAAAAAGTCTTGTATAACGTGATTAGCTTGCCACAGACGTCATGAAACCCTTACCATCAGTCATGTGCTCCCCATACCCGCTTTTGATGGCCCATGGTATTCGTATATGAGCGATAGGTTACTTGACATCTGAGTCAACGTAAGAATCACAGGAGTAGACTTTGCAAGTCTTAACATGAAAGCGTTACAGAGCTTGTGCCGGATACAATCGTGCACTGACGTTGACAACGTTGTCAGTGAGCTAAAAGTGTCTATTTAGGCCGCAAACAAAAAGTTGAATTGGAGACTGATTGAACCCAGACATTTTTCATTGTAGTAAACAAATCAACCACACAGCCACACCAGTGCTTGAAGAATCTTAGAAAAAAGCACCCTACACCAGCACCATGTCGGGGAAACGCCGCAATGGCAACATGGTTTCGTTCATACTTCTAATACAAATTGAACAAACATTTACTACATCATATATAACAAAGTGTCGCTTATGTATACGCACATGGCCGCTACTTAAGATGTGTTCATCATCGCACCATAGCGTGCATATCGTAGCGGGAAAAGTAATACTGCTATCAAACGGGCACCCGTGAACTCCTTTCAACTCCTTCGTCTTTACGACAACGGAGATGTGGTCCGTGTCACACGGTCTTTTTTATGCCAAGGAATTCAAGCGCAGCTTTTCGCAAAGAGAGTTTGGTGATCTTCCTTAGCGATTGAGGCAAGCACTTTTGTTCCTAGTAATCTGTAGCTACGGAAAAAACTTCAAACACAAAACAGCCGCCATCAACACAGCAACAAACTTTATCACTACTAAAACTTCTTTCACTGCATAATCACTTACAACCTGTGTTTAACGAAAATGAAATACGCATACAAATGTGCTTACTCTACACGCCATGCTTGGCCGAAAGCCATTGTATCGCCATTTTGAAAACGTTTCTCCACTTCCCTGCCAACCTGCCAGCCATCATATCCGTGCACAACGTAGTGTTTACATCTCTTCAACTTGTTGGCTTCTTGCTTTATGCTTTTTATTCTACTTCAACTCTGCCGAAATTCATAGGAATGGTTCACGCGGGTTTTCTTCTTTTTTCATCGATGCCGGTAGTCGTGCCGGCAGTATGGGAACTGCTGTGTGGCCCATCCGCCGCAAGCGCTTAATGTATACACCGAACGCAAGGTCTGTGTTCATCCGGTAATTGTAAAGAACGTTGTGGTGTACGAGGTAGCGCAATGCCAAAAAGCACGGCGACAACTATCAGTGTGGCAATCGGCGTACGTAGAAAAAGTGCGTACCAAAACAAACGTGCAGTGTCACTAGCATTTCTGTCAGCATTGCTGCCAACTTGTTTGCTGGTTTTCGCGGCTGTGATAAAAGCCACAAGATGTTTCTTGTTCTAGTGTAAGTGAATGATAGTTTATATAATCATACGTAAGATTGAAAATGTTTTCAGAAGTATTAGACACGATATCTATCATGCGGAGATGGTGCTGCAACGCCTTGCAGCTTCTATCTAAAGTTTATAAAATAGCCGTGTGACATGGGCCTAACTCCATCTCCGTCAACCTCTCTAGAACAGTTTTACGCTGATGAAGATTAACAGAGTTTAGTGGTGGCCGTGTGAAAGGGATATAACATCGCTATTCTAACGCAAGTACCGTCGTTATGTCGAGCTATGTGCTAACCTCTGTTTGCCAGTGCAGTCACGGTGCTTGGCAAGCAAACAATATGGGCAAAGCTACTAAAGTTATGCAAATACATCTGTCCAGTTTTTAACGCCTGCCTACAAGCTAAACATGTGATATAGGCTCGTTGATTGCTTCGCATCATAGTGACCCCCCGATTGAGTGGGATGTCAGGATTTTTAACACTGACTCCGGGGTTCTCAAAGCCTTGATGACGTGACAGAATTTCGTTAAAGAATTCGAGTTCAAGGAATACGTCAGCAGAATTCACGCAATCTGACCGTGTTGCGTTCGAAGCTGTTTTTACTTTATTAATAATATTTTAAATTTATTAACAGACAAAAAGTGACACAGGCATTTATTTCAAATCGCTAGAGTAAAGTAGCTTCCTGGGCGAGTTGGTTCAATATGAAGACGAAATGGATGACAGTGAAGAAGAAAAACCACACAGTACCAGCGCTTGTCCTATGTGGCTGTTGTCTTTCGCTGTCTTCGTGTGGTTTTTCGCTGGTTTCTTCTAATTAACAGAGATCATATATCTGAACGCACAGATCACATATACCAATTAGGACATTCCGCGCAAGAACTAACTTTATTTGTGTTAGAAAACCGCTAATCAATGGAATAGTCTGCAGTCTGAGCAAGTGTGTGTATCGTATTAGCACGTATGTGCTTTTATAAGCACACACAGCACCTTAATTATTAGATACGCACACACCATCGTTTGCCCTCTCCAAACAGCAGTATATTAATCACTGTCAACAAACAACTTTGTTCATTCTTCGGTTGCTGTCCCGCTGTGTCACTTGGGCAGCCCAGATGGCAATACATGGTATCAAAAGTGGAATGGATGACCACTAAGCCACAGGCTGCGAAGTGCCTTAAGGATAGACTACCTCAAGCCACCAGGACCACTGGGCTTATCTGGAAACGGCAGAACGCACTGGCAGTATTTCATACAACGGTTTGATCTGTTTCTTAGAGCAACTTGCCCTGACAAGCCAAGATCTGAGGAGGGAAAGACATCGATCCTGCTGAGCATTGCTGGCGAAGAAGCAATAGAGCTGTATAACAACTTCTTGTTCGCTGACGAAGCACACAAGCACGATTACAAGACGGCAGTCGCAATGCTTAAGGCATGCTGTGTGAAAAAGTAGAACAAAAATCAGTAAGGATACGTGTTCAAAACACGCATACAAGCGGAGGCGAAACCATTTGAACTATTTCTACGAAATATGAAGACGCAGGTGGCTCATTGCGACTTCGGTCACTTGGCTGATGGCATGGTGCGTGATCGAATTGTGTTTGGCACGAATTCACCACGACTGTGAGTAAAAGTCCTCAGGAATAAAGGAATGAGCCTGAAAAAAGCCACTAGTATGTGCATGGTGGCAGAGAGAGCAGCTCTTCCGGACTACGTTTGGAAAGAAAAGGAAAAGAAAGCCACCAGATAGACCAACGACTCCTGTATTTTATCAATGCCAGCCAGATGCGCCCGATATAGCTGCTCACCACAATTTCCTCTGAACTTTTCGCAGCTATCTCGCATCACTTAGCCTTTGGGTGTGCTTTGTAGTCGTGGCGAAGAGAACCCCTCATGCAGTGCCTCATGATGGAAATCGTATGAAGTAGACTTTTGTTCGCTTGTGTACAGATCCGGGGGCGGCAGCTTGCATTCCTCGTGTTCACAATATTGGCAGTGACGCTGGCTCTGTGAAATATACGCTATTTTCAGATAGCGGGACGCCATTGGTGGCGCTATACGTGTGCAACCAATGGGGAAGCGTCTCGGCGACTTTTCTGCATGCGCTGCTCTGTAGCGCTGCGGCGCAATTGTCTCGAGCCAGAAAGAAGCAGTATGAAGGGGCAAATCTGACAAAAGTATGATATTGGTGTGGGAAACACGTCTATCGCATTTTAGGGAGAAAGGCGCTCGGACGAATGTGTGACGCGAATAGCGTGACCCCTTATGCAGTGTCGCATCACGACTACTCGCTGAATTAGAGTGGACCGACGTCTTCCTTTGAGAAGCGCGCGTTTGCACTGACAATAAAATAAAGAAGGCATTGGATAGACACAGCACCGTGAAGTACCCCCCCCCCCCCCCATTGACGCAGACGTTACGAGATAAACGAAAAGCCAATTCTGCCAATGAAATGAAGGAAGAATCAGAAATAAACGGGATAACAAGATGCCGTACAACAATGTCGAAGTGTTACCGGCATGGCTGACCTCACACTACAAGTCAGTGTCATGGACGTAGTCCTAAGCAGTGTTGGTCGTGACCACGACTGGCTGCTTAATACCAAATTAACAGGCCAGGTTGAAACATTAAAGGTTGAAACCGGAGCTCACGCAAATCTGATACCATTTTCTCTGTATCGCAAGTTAAGCGTTGAAGCTCTTCAACATAGTGGGACTATCCTGCGTTTTTACCGATGAAGGATTACCAAGCAATGCAGAACATTTTCAACACCGGTGGTGATAAATAACTAGCAGTGCTCGGTTCGGTTCTTCACCGGCCGAAAAGGTTAACAAGCCACTCTCGGCTTTGAAGCCTCCGACCACTTTGGTCTAATTCGGTGCGCCGTCAAAAGTGCTACCATGAACCCTGCAAGTGATGCGACCCTAGAGTCCCCCGAGCTGTTTCGCGGAACCGGATGCCATCAGCGGAACTAGAATATCGTGCTTCGTGACGATGCGCTTTCCACCATTCAATCGACACGAAGAGTGCCCCTATTCCTCCAACGGTCACTTCACGCCGAGCTTGCCATAATGGAACAAGAAGTCATAATCAAGAAAGTCACCTGTCACATAGACTGTGTCGGTCCCTTCTGATGCCCGTTGGCAATGGACGCTTGTATACCACGCAATGTTACTGCAATATTTCATGTTGCATTGTGAGGCATATATACAGGATGCGTGTGTTTGTGAAGCTTGAAAGATACTTTCACTGCATTTCGAAGCAGAGGAAGTTATTTTCATCGTTTTTTCTGAGCAGAGGTGTGGCCATGTGGTTTAACATCTGCTTGCCACGCAAACGAGCTGGGTTCAATCCACACTTAGCCCTAAACAACCCTGGATTGGTTCCCACTCTGCACCA